GACTGGAGCTCGAAGTAGGACTTGACGACGACCTCGACGGCGCTGTTCGGCGCCGCGTGGACTACCGTCGCGACAATGGCTGCTAGGAGCGCGTAGCTGAGCAGCCCCATGCTTCTCGGGATTTCCCCTCAATGTTGCACGGCAATGAAATCAGGTTGAAGCTCTCGAGCTCTGATGGCCGCCTTCGAAGGCAGCCCGTAGTCGCGCCGTGCGACATGTCCGTGTCCGTCGACGTGACCCAGAGCTTCACGTGCGACGTGCACGCGCTCTGGAAGCTCATCGGCAGCTTCTATGACTTGAAATGGACGGGGGACGATCCCTGGGAGTTCGACGGCATCTACCGCACGCTTCCCGAGCACGGCATGAAGGAGCAGCTGGTCTACAAAGGGGAGACGTGCTACACCTACAAGATGGTCGAGGGGCCGTTCAAGAACTTCACGGTCACCATCTCCGCGGCGGCCGACGGCGCGGGCTCCGTCGCGACGTACGCGGCCGTCGGCGACCTCTCCGACGAGGAGCGGGCCATGGTGCGCGACGGCACGCGGGAGCTGCTCGCGGCCCTCGCGGCGACGCGCCCCTAAAATAAAAACTAGCGCGGGCGCCCGTAGTAGAGGCGGAACAGCTGCTCGGGCGTGGCGCCGACGTGCCACCAGAGCAGCGTGAGCGCGTTGAGCGCGTTCGTCTTGAGGATCCCCGCCTTGAGGAAGCGCCGCGGCGACGTGAGGGCCGCCTCCCGGAGCGTGACGACGCGGCCGCGCTTGCGCGCGCGGAGCGCGAGGTCGAGGTCCTCGAGGAGCGGCATGCGCGCGACGCCGCCGAGGTCCGCGAGCGTCGCCTTGGACAGCGCGAGGCCCTGGTCGCCCCAGGGCAGCTCGAGGTACGTCGACCGCACGTGCGCGCCGAGCTCCACGGCCGCGAGCGCCGGCCGGCCAGAAGAGCCGTCGAGCGCGAAGCCGAAAGCCGCGAGCGTCGTCCCGGGCTCCGCGAGCGCGGCGAGGACGAGCGCGTCGTAGGCAAGCGGCGGCCGCGTGTCGCCGTGGAGGAAGAGGACGGCGTCGCCCGTCGCGGCGGCCGCGCCCGCCGCGAGCGCGGGGCCCCGGCCCGCGGCGGACGTCGACTCGCGGACGACGACGCGCGCTTTCGCCGCGTCGACGGCCGCGCCGAAGGCGCGGGCCGTCGCCGCCGTGTCGTCCGTGGACCCCGCGTCGACGACGACGATCTCGACGAACTTCGCGGCGCGGTCCGCGCACGCGGCGAGCGTCCGCTCGAGGCCGCGCGCCTCGTTGTGGGCCGGCACGACGACCGAGAGCGTCTTCGGCCGCGAGGACGCGCTGCCGCTGGGCCGCGGCCGCGCGAGGGCGTCGCGGACGTAGGCGGGGACGCACTGGAGCACCATGAGCGCCTGCGCGACGAGCACCAAACCCGCGAACGCGAGCTCCCGCACGAACCGCGGCGGCGCCTCGCCCCCCCGGTCGAGCGCGTCGAGGCTCGCGACGGCGAGGTCGCCGGCGGCGTCGGCGCCGTAGGCGTGGTGGCACTCGGCCGTGACGAGGTCGTGGAGCGCGTCGACGCCCGCGTGGGGCGCGCGCCGCGCGAGCGGCGGCGGCGGCATTCCGCGGCCGTCGGCGAGGAGCAGGCGCCCGTACGCGCGCGCGGCCCGGCGCAGCGCGGGCCGCGCGCAGGCCGGGAAGGCCGAGAGGCGCATGGGCGACTTGGACACGGCCTCGATGGCCCGCGACTTCAGGACTTTTTCGAAGCACGGCGCGCCGTACCACTTCCGCCAGTCGTCGTCGCTCCACGCCGCGCGCTGCGCGCAGACGTCGAAGGCCCGCTTCGGCGGCGCGTCGACGCGGCCGCCAAAGACGCGCGCGCGCACGCGGGCCTCGAGCGCCGCGCCGCCGTCCATCTGGAAGGAGCTAAAGTCGACGACCGTCAGGTCGACGTCGGACGGGAGCGCGGCCAGCTGCGCCTCGAGCGCGGACCAGCCCAGGCGCCAGTCGAAGATTTTCGCGACCTCGTCGTCGTCGAGCTCGGAGAAGCGGCCCAGCGGCAGCGCGTCCCCGCGGCCGAAGACGGCTTTTTGCACCTCCGGCCACGAGAGGAACGGGTGCAGCGCGCACGCGCGCACGGCGCCGGGTCCGAGGCGCGAGAAGTCGCGCGCGGCCTTCATGGCCGCCCAGGCCTCGCGCCACGTCGCTTTGGTGTGTGCTTCAACAACAGCCTCGCCGTGCACGCGCAGCGCGCGCGCGTCCGGCGCCACGCCGAACGCCGCGAGCGCGCCCGAGTCGACGCGGTCGAGCATGGACTTGAGCCGCGACTCGAACTGGAGGCAGGGGCTTCGTATGACTATAATCCACCACCGCGCGAGGCGCGCCCAGAGCGGCACCATGGCCGGGAGCACCTTGTTCGTGACCTCCTTGACCACGACCGTCGCGACGGCCGCGTCGACGGCCTCGACGGCCGCGAGCACGCGCGCGAACGTCGCCTCGGCGCGCGACACGCCGGCCGCGGGCGGGCCCAGCAGCGACGGCTCGTTGACCTGGGCGTCGAAGGGCAGCGCTCGTACAGGAACTTCTCCGTCGCCGTCGTGCCGCCGCGCGCGAGGCCCAGCAGGAAGACGAGGCGGAGTTGGTTGTTTTTTATCAGTTGTTCCAACTTGTCGAAGCTCGGCGATGCGTTCATCGCTGCTTACGACGACGCCATCGTTGCGGCGATTTTCATGGCGCCATAGCTCTCCGTCCAGTCTTGTCGTCAACTTGACGTCACAAAACGGAGTTGTCGCGACTTGGGTAACACGAGATGACCGGCGCCGCTTTGCTCCGGATCGCCGCGATGGTGCGGGGTCGCTCCGGATCGCTCCGGATCGCCAGGACCGCGTCCGAGGGCGCGGGATCGCTCTGGATCGCCGCGGATCGCGCCGGGATCGCGCCGGATCGCTCCGGATCATGATCGCTGCCAGGATCCTGGTGGCGCCGGCTCTAACGTTCTGGTGGCAAGTCTTAGTACGACCACCCGGGGCGCCAGCCGCGGCGGGCGACGATCTGTTCCCGGCGCGTCGGGAGGTAGTGGGGCCCGGGCAGGCCGCCGTGGGGGAAGGGGCGGCCGAAGGGCGTCGGGCGGTAGCGCGGGCCCCAGTGGCCGAAGGGGCGGGGGTGGTCGTAGATCCGGGGCACGTCGAAGCGCGGGTCCCACGGGACGTCGAGGTAGGGGCGGGGATGATGGTGGTGATGATGATTGTCGTAGATCCGGGTCGCCGCGAAGCGCGAATCCCACGGGTCCTGCGCGTGCCCGCCGCGGACGTCGCGACGGTCCCGCAGCTCGTCGGAAAGCTTGGATTTGGTCGCTTCCATCAAGCGCGCGCTCTCGGCGCGGCCGTCGTCGACGGACCGGCGGACGTCGCGCAGCTGCGCGTCCACGTTCTTGGCCAACGCGTCGGCCGCGTCCCGCTGCTTGCCCACGGCGTCGCCCACGTCGCGCTTGACGGCGTCCAGGGCGGCGTCGACGGCGTAGAGGCGCCGCTCGAGCGCGCCGTCGTCGGCGGCGCGGGCGGGCCGCCGGGCGACGGCGTCCTCCACGGCGCGTTCGAGCCTCTCGAAGCGGCGCGCCATCTCGTCGGCGTCGGATCGGGCCGCGACGGGCGCCGGGTCGCGCCGTCGCTGCTCGTTCGACGTCGTGTCCCCGGACAGCGACGCGCGGAGATTCTTGACGGTGTCCGCGAGCTCCCGGAGCCGGTCCTCGACGCCGTCGGCCGACGGCGCGTGCTGCGCGGAGGCGTCGGCGTCGGACGTCGTGTCCCGGGACAGCGACGCGGGGAGGTTCGCGACGGTCTCCGCGAGCTCCCGGAGCCGGTCCTCGACGCCGTCGGCCGACCGCGCGTAGGCGTCGGCGCGGTCGTAAGTACGGGTCGCCGCGAAGCGCGAATCCCACGGGTCCTGCGCGGCGCCGTGGACGTCGCCGCTGGGCGGCGCCGCGGGCAGCGCCGAGGGCGGCGCCGCGGGCGGCGACGCGGGCGCGGGCGGCGCCGCCGCACGCGGCCGCGCCGTGCGCGTCGCGTAGGCGCCGCCCTGCCCGGGGTCGTCGCGGAACGCCTCGTTGCCCCGGCCCCGCGTGTGCGGGTTGGCGGTGGCGGCCTTGGCGAGGCGGTCCTGCTCCATGCCGGCCAACGCCTGCTCGGCCTGGACGTTGTCCTTCGCGACCGTTGCGGCGATCCGCGCGGCCTCCCACGCGGTCTCCTCGGTCGCCGTGTCGATCGGGCCGCTGGACCGGAGGGCGGCCACGGCCGTCTGCGCCGCGAGCTCCACCTCGCTCGGTTCGAGGCGGGCGTAGTCGTAGTTCGCCGTGACCGGCGGGTATGGCGTCGGGTATGGCGACGTCGAGCGCAGGACCGTCGTCTCCCGCTGAGGCGTAGGCGTCGTGAAGGCGGCCGCGGCCGCGGACAGCGCGCACAGTTTACGGAGCATCGTCCAGAAGCCGAAGCGACTGTTCATACGCGTTTCTGATGTCACACTCTCACACAGTTCCCGGCCTCAACAAGCCGACGATGTTGCTTTCCCCCCGACCGTGAGGGAGGCAGGATTAGAGCACGGATCTATCGTTAGCGGAGGCACTGGCGACGCACCACCGCCTCGCGGTAGGACTCGTCGACGAATGCAGCGGCGAGGGCCGCGAGGCGGAATACGCTCGCGGCCGCGGCCTTTTTCCATGGCGGCCCGGGGGCGCAGCCCATCTGTGTTCTCCGGCCATTGCGCGCGCGAGCGCCCAGAGAAACAAACAACGCTGCCTCGCCTCATTTCGCGGCGGGGACTACGGATAGTATGTTGACCGGATGTTGTGAAGAAGTGGCAAACCTCCACTCGCAGGCGACGTCATCGAGCAGGAGACTCATCGAGACGAACGCACCTCGAGAAGCATGGCGCTCCGCAATCTTTGCACACTCACCGCGACCGCGGCGGCTTTCACGACGCCGACGCCGCAGCACGCCACCACCGCCCTGCGGTCGACCTACCAAGGCGGGCCGGCCGCGGACTACCTCGAGGTCGAGCGGCGCGAGGTCGAGCGCGCGGCGCAGACGGCCGTGGACGCGCTCCGGTCCAACGGCGCCCCCCTCGACCCGGCGACGGAGGAGGCCGCGTGGGAGGCCGCGTGGATCGCCGCGTCCGTCGCGAACGTCGAGCGGCTCAAGATCAAGCAGGACGCGGCGGCCCGCGTCGCCGACCGCGTTCCCGCCTACGTGCCGCCGCTCGGCGGCCGCGTCGCCGGCGCCGTCGACGAGTTCGTGGCGGACAAGCCCGCGTACGCGGAGGCCGCGACGTCGTCCGCGCCGTCCTGGCTCGGCGCGCAGGCGGCGCCCGAGCCGGCCCCCGAGGACGTGTTCCGCGGCTACGCGCCGGACCCGCGGGGCCCCGTCGTCGCCGACCGCCGGGCGGGCGCCGAGACGTTCCGCGACGCGGACCCGTGGATGCGTCGCGACGCAAGACCCCCGCGCTTCGCGACGCCCCGGGACCCTCACGCCTACGGCGGCGGGATGCCGAATCCCATCGTACCCGGCGGCTACGCGCGCGACCCGCGGGATCCGCGCGAGCGAGGCGCGTACCCGGAGGACCCGCGGGATCCGCGCTTCGAGGCGCCGCCCGGCGGCGACGTCCGCGGCTACGGCCAGGACCCGCGGGACATGCGCGGGCCCGGCGGCTACCAGCAGGACCCGCGGGAGATGCGCGGGCCCGGCGGCTACGGCCAGGACCCGCGGGAGATGCGCGGGCCCGGCGGCTACGGCCAGGACCCGCGGGACATGCGCGGGCCCGGCGGCTACCAGCAGGACCCGCGGGACATGCGCGGGCCCGGCGGCTACGGGCGGCAGGACCCGCGGAATCCGCGCTTCGCTCCGGAGAACGTCCGCAGCTACTCGCCCGACCCGCGGGACGAGCCCATGGGCGGGCTCGGCAACTTGCCGCAAGACCCGCGGGATCCGCGCTACCTGCGCCCGCGCGACCTCCGGACCTACGACTCCTCCGCCGCCTACGGCGGCGCGCCGCGCCAGCGCTCCATGTGGGGCAACTCGGTCGTCCCGAGGAACGAACCCAAAGCCGCCGCCGGGCGGGCGAGCAACGAGAAGTTCCGCGACGAGGACCCGTCGGTCAGATCGGGCGCACGGCGCCGCGTGCGCCGGTGATGGTCGAGATGAGCCTCCCGGATCGAGTCGAGCGCGCGCGGCCCACCGCGCGCGCGCGACCGGCGGGACCCTCGGCGCGGCCGACGAACGTCGTCGTCGCGCCCCCTTCGTCTACATGCCCCCTCCGCCCTAGTCGCGCCCTCCCTGTGCCCCCCCCCCTCTCTCGTTCTTCCTCCTTTCGATTCCTCCCCGCGCCGCGACTAACAGACATCAACTTGAACCTCGTTTAATCCGCGCACCGCACGCACCCCGTCCGCACGAAGACCTCGTGGAAGGTCGGCGCGCCCTGGGCCCTGAAGGACGGCGCGAAGCGGGGCTCGTCGCACGCGCAGCGCCGGTCGCCGCAGTCCAGCGGCGCGAGGCCCGCCCGGAGGAGCGCCGGCCGCACCTCCGCGACCCAGTTCCGGTTCGAGGGCTGGTCCCACTCGACGCAGACCCAGGACGCGCGGTCCAGCAGCTCGGGGAAGTCGCGGACGACGTCCACGAAGGCGCCCTCGCAGTCCGCGAGGACCGCGTCGAACGGGCCGCCCGCGAGCCGCCTGTGTGGAAACCAAATCTTCAACCCGACTTCAATGTTAGCGTATGCGAACGTTTCGACGCAATCTCTTTGGCTGTGTCTCGAGAACTCGAGGAGAGGAATCGATTCGTCCAAAAATCAGCCGAATCGATTTCGATTTGACCGAGATAGAGAGGTTTGAAGTTTGGTCAGGACCCCCTGAACCAGTGGTTGGTTTCCACACTGCGAGCCGCTCGAGGGCCGCGAGGTCGTGGTACGCGTCGACGACGTCGCCCAGCACCATGGTCGTCGGCTGGCGCGACCGGCCCAGGAAGCCCTGGACGGTCGTGAAGCGGCCCAGCCGCGCCGCGAGGTGGTACTCGGGGAAGAATCGGCCTGGGCACAAGAGTTATTCAACGTCGCTTCAACGTGAGTGTTCCGCGCGCGCGCGTTACGGAAAACACATCCACGCTTCGAGACCGTTCCGAGAGATGATCGCTCGTCCAAAAATCAGCCGAAACGAGTGGAAAATGGCCGAGATCGGAGCCTTTGAAGTTGGGAATTTCGCTCTCTTGTGCTGCCCTGGAATCGGCTTCCCGGATCGACGACGACCTGGCGCGTCGGGTCGTCGAGGAGCGCGTCGGCGACCATGCACGTCGCGCCGAAGCCGGCGCCGATGGTCAGTAACCGCGCGCTCCGCGGGAGCAGCAGCGACAGGCGCTGCTCGCAGAGCTCCTCGTTGCACGCGAAGCCCCGCGCCCGCAGCGCCGCCCTCACGCGCCCGAAGTCGTCGTCCGTCGACTCGAGGAACGCCGCGCGCGCCAGCGCCCGCGGCGTGCACCGCGCGGCGATGGTCTCCGGGCCCGCGACGCGCAGGAGCTCCGCGAGCTGCGGATCCGGCGGCGGCGCCGCGGGCTCCGGCGCGAGGCGCCGGCGGCGGACGGCCGGCGCCGGCGCGGCCGCGGGCGCCGGCGCGGGCGCGGGCGCCGGCGCGGCGCCGCCGACGACGACGACGACCTCGCCCTCGGCGACCTGGGGACCCAGGGGCGCGTCGAGGCGCAGCGGCGCGCCGCCCTTGCGCTCGAGGCCCGTGGCCGGCACGGGCGACGCCTTGTTGTAGGCCTCGAGAGCCTTGCGGGCCGTCGTCTTCGCGCCGACCTGCAGCTTCAGCGCCCGGCCGTCGAGCGACGCGAGCACGACCGCCTTCTTCGCCGGGGGCTGCATCTCACAGGGGACCTCCATCGCCGCGCTTGAAGCGCAAGAAGCCGAAGGTGCCTTCGAGACCGGCGACGCTCGCAATGTCGACACTCGACGCCTCCGAGACGGCCACGGAGGGCGAGGCCGCCCCGGCCATCAACGTCTGCGCCGCCTGCGGTGCGGAAGCGAAGATGGCCTGCCCGCAGTGCGTGAAGCTCAAGCAGAAGGAGCCCGCGGGCTTCGACGGCGGCGGCTTCGGCGTCGTCTATTTTTGCACCCAGGACTGCTTCAAGGCGAACTGGAGCGCGCACAAGAAGAGCCACAAGCCCTGGGCGGCGGCCATCGACGTCGCGACGCCCCTCGACCCCGAGGAGGCGAAGCGGCCGCCGGACTGCTTCCGGGGCTACTCGGACTACACGGGCGACCTGCGGCCCTGGGCGTACCCGAAGGACGACACGGCGGCGCGCCTGCGGCGGCTGCCGGCGTCCATCGCGCGGCCGGACTACTCGCAGACGGGCCAGCCGAGGAGCGAGCAGATGGAGAAGCGGAACCGCGCGATCCGCGTCTACAGCGCCAAGGACATCGCGGGCATCCGCGAGGTCTGCAAGATCGGCCGCAAGGTGCTCGACGCCGCGGGCCGCGCCGTCGGCCTGGGCGTGACGACGGCGGAGGTCGACCGCGTGACCTACGAGACGACCGTCGAGCACGGCGGCTACCCGTCGCCGCTCAACTACTACGACTTCCCCTGCAGCGTTTGCACGTCCGTGAACGAGGTCATCTGCCACGGCATCCCCGACCTGCGGCCCCTCGAGGAGGGCGACGTCGTCAACGTCGACGTCTCCGTCTACTACGGCGGCTACCACGGCGACCTCAACGAGACGTTCATCGTCGGCAAGGGCGCGGACGAGGACTACCGGCTGATCGAGACCGCGTTCAAGTGCCTCATGGCCGGCGCGAACCTGATCCGGCCGGGCACCATGTACCGCGACGTCGGCGGCGCCGTCGAGCGCGTCGCCAAGGCCGCGAACTGCTCCGTCGTGCGCACGTACTGCGGCCACGGCATCGGCGAGTTGTTCCACACGGCGCCGAACATCCCCCACTACACGAAGAACAAGGCCACGGGCATCATGAAGCCGGGCCACATCTTCACCATCGAGCCCATGATCAACCTCGGCGTCTGGCGCGACCGCACCTGGCCCGACCAGTGGACCGCCGTCACCGCGGACGGCAAGAAGTCCGCGCAGTTCGAGCACACGTTCCTCGTCACCGACGACGGCTACGAGATCCTCACCATGCGCGACGACGAGCCCAAGATGGTCTGGGACATCGCCAAGCAGCAGAGGTAGGTTTTACGGTCGTAAATCCGGGCTTTTTCTTTTTCGAGCATCCGAGTCGTCGGCGCGTCGACCCGGTGTCGCGAGCGGCCGACCTGCGCGCACGTTTCTCGGCGTGCCTTAGGGCGCCCCGCTCCCCGCTGCACGACCCCGATAGGTGTTGCCATGCACTGGCGCTTGCTGCCTGCGAGGTGTCGCAGAGCCTTCGCAGCCCCTCCTTTCGCCGCGGAGCCCGGGCTTCAAGTTGTGAACGACTGCAACAACGTCTCACGAATCGAGCTTGCTGGTTTGGCTCGCGAAGAGCGCCAGCCTCTCGCGATTTTGCAACAGTTCCCGGGCCGCGCGCAACGCTACGCGCATCGCAAGACCGCCCGTGCAACGCGCCGCCGGTTTCGCCGCCAAAAAAGGCGCCAACAGTCCAAACACCGCCCGCAAACTCGCCGATGCTCGAGCAAGTGGACATTGCGAGTTCGCGGGCGGGCGAGGTCGTCGCCGCGCACGGCGCGCTCGTCGCGAGCGCCTGGCGCGCCCTCGAGGGCATCGCCGGCGCCGTCGGGAGCGACGCCGGCGAGCTGCTGGGCGGCGACGGCGCGCCGCGGGCCGGCGGCGCGCCCGCGGCGTCGGAGCTCCCGGCGCTCATGGCCGCGCTCGGCCACTGGCGGCGGTCCATGGACCGGGCCCTCGCGGGCCAGCGGAGCGCCGCCGAGGGCGAGGGCGGCTGGCCCGAGGAGAAGGGCGCGCGGGGCAAGCGGCGGCGCCGCGCGAAGCTCGACGGTCTCGTCGCCTTATCGGACGGGCTGGGCGCGTCCGCGTTCGCGCAGGTCGTGCTCTGCTCGGGCTACTGCGGCCCCGCGGGCCTCGGGCGGCTGGGCGCCTGCTGCGCCGCCTTCGGGGGCCGCCTGCCCTTCTCCGTCGCGGGCGAGCGGCCGTGGCTGTCGCTCGCCGAGGCCGCGTGCCGGCGCCTCGCGGCGACGTACCTGCGGCCGTCGCTGCGGCCCCAGGTCAAGGCGCTGACCCTGGCGGCGCGCTGCGGCCGGGCCTTTGGCGTCAAGAAGCTCACGGACGCCGTCGCGGCGCGCACGGGCCGCCTCGAGCGCTGGCGGGCGACGCTCAAGGTCGGCGACCGCCTCGACGTCATGGACAACGACAGCAAGCGCGCGGCGCCGGGGGACCGGGGCCGCTGGTGCGAGGCGGAGCTCGTGGGCCACGCGCCGCCGCCGACGGACCGGTCCCGCACGCGCGCGCTCTGGAAGGTCCACTTCCGGTCCTGGGACGGGAAATTCGACGAGTTCATCTTCTCGGAGCACGCGGAGCGGTTCCGGCCGGCCTTCACCATGGTCGCCGACTGGCGCCGCCACCTCGCCGCGGGCGACGAGGTCGAGGTGCGCCGGCCCCGCGACTTCCACGCGCCGCGGACCTTCTGGTTCCAGGGCGTCGTCGTCTCGCGGTCCGGCGACCACGTCAACCTCCGGCTCCAGGTCATCGACGCGTCCCTCGTCCAGTCCGTCGACCAGCCCTGGACCGTCCACGTCGACTCCGAGCGCATCGCCATGAAGTACGAGCACATCTCGCCGGACCTCTGGCAGAACCTCCGGTGACCGACTCGGCGGCGGGGGGGGCGCGCGCCGCGGACGCCCCGGCATAACACGACCGTTCGACCCGGCGGGGCCGCCCCCCGCGCGGCGTTCTTTCGGTTAGACGTTCCCCCGCGTCGGCGACGGCGGCGGCCGCGCGTCCCGGAGCGCCTTGAGCTCCGCGGCGTGCTTCTCGGCCGTCGCCGCGCGCTCCCGCTCGACCTTCTTCATCTTCTTCTCCACCTTGGACGCGACCTCGTTGAGCTTGGCCTCGTGGGACGCCTTGAGCTTCGCGACCGCGGCCGCGTGCGCCTCGGCCGCGGCCGCCGCGGCGTCGGACGCGGTCTTCTCCGCCGCGGCGCGCGCCGCGGCGAGCTCGTCGGCCTGCTGCCGCAGCGCGTCGTAGCGCAGCTGCTCGAGCTCCCTGCGCTGCGCCTCGAGCGCGCCCGAGCCCGCGTCGG